AAAAAAAAAAAGAAACATAGTAAATAAACCCTGCCCCCTAACTGCTCTAAAGTAGAAATATCTGAAATTGAGAGGGCAGGGCAATAAAAGGGATTTTAAAGTGAATAGATAAGTGGCAAATAATATTCATACAAACTTATTTAAAGGAGAAAATAGAAAGGCAGTATCATGCAAACTGTTGAGGTGATGAAAATACTCCCCCCAAAAAACGGCCATGAAACAGGGGAAACATGTTTGACACAACACTTGATATGAAATAGCAATTAGACAAGGATTTGCAGACACAAGGTACAAAAACACCTTTCTAAACGTAATAATTCAGAATAGCAGTGGACAAAAAATGATGTCTAAGATGCCTCAGGATAACGAAAATGTAATGATTGAACTCAGGCAAGAACAAGACACAATCATCTCAGAAGTGAGTAAACTACAAAGTGACCGAAGGAGAAGAGATCTGACAGAAAACATAATAAGGGACACTGAGGAGAAGAATAAAAATAATCAAGAAAGTGAATATGCAGAGGTTAAAGAAAAAACAAAACAATGTTATGACTTTATGTTTTAAGACTCTTGAAATAATTGGTGAAAGTTACATATTCCTTAAGCAACTAATACATGGATGTGTGACATATAATCCCACAATAGCCCCAAATTATTAGGCTTTTAAGAATTCTCTTAAAATATCTGCTTTATAAATATAGTGAAAACCGAAGCCAGTTTAGAAGCAAGTGACCCAGCCCCACATGGTTTGCCCTGAACTTCCATTCGCTCAGATGCCTACCCTCCCTGTCTTTGGTTAGTCAATAGGTGTGCACACAAACCTAAGCTAAGATAATCATATATTCCCTCCCTCGCCACTGTTAATTCACCAAGGATAGGCCTAAACCGGGCTTATGAAGATCCTTTCTTGGGATTCTCTCTCTTGTCACAGAAATTCTAACTATAAAACTCTGTGGCTGTCAATCAGGTAGACAAGGTGACACACAGAGAGATGTCGAGATGACGAGAAAGGCCTCAGAAGTTTCCAGGTGCTCATCCTGGGGCCCAGGTGCATCTCTGCCCTCTCAGAGCTCTGGTTGTTCAGCTCCCTTCGATTCCATGAGCTAATAAATTCCCTTTTGTCTAAGCTAGGTAGAGTCTAAGTTGAGGTGGGTGTTTATCGCTTCAACTTAAAGAATCTTAATATAGTAATATAATAATAATAATAATAATAATAATAATAATAATAACCTCTTGCTGTCGTTCTGATACTTCTTCAAGTGTGCCCTTTGGTTTGCAGAGCTCAGGAGTGACAGCGTCTAACATCTGACGGTCCCTGTCTTTGTCCCGTCTTGCCTCTTGCTTGGCCAGGTCTAATGTACTTTTCAAGTTATCTGTTTCCATAACTGCCTTCGCTTTCATTGCTTCAACTTTTGTTAAAGATTGCCTGAGCTTCTCAATGGTTTTGTCCTGTGAGGGTGTGAGGTAAAGGTTGGGGCAAATGGAGACGACTGTGATTAGATCTCTTCTAAATCTAAATAGGCCGGCATGACATGTGATAATCATGCTTCTATTCCTTCTTTTGTTTTTTAAGAGGTAGATACATGGAGAAGAAAAAAAATTCCACAATTTATGAGTTAAGAGGACATTTCTCCACCATCATACTCATCACTGAACACTTTTATAAACTAGGCACTTGTGTTTTAAAGAGGTTTAATAAGTGTTCCATGTCCTCAAAAGTCTTACAGTCTGTGCTAGTTAAATATAGAAATATAGAAAATAACTGGCTCTGAAGTAAGAGAAATATTGCTGGTAAACTGGCAATAAAAAAGTTGATAAATAAGTAGGGCACCTGTGATTTAAGACATAAAATGTATGTTTGAAATATTATAACTGAAGCTTGAAATAGAGAAGGTCCAGAGAGGAGCCCCACAAATGACTAAACCTTTTAACTATTACCCCAACAAGAAAGACAAAAGTAAGGCTAAAATAAAAAGCAAGGAATCTAGAAGTTACCTTTGAGGAATAGAGAGGGGAATACATGGGATTGATAATAGCTTTTTTTTAAAGATTAGTGATAGATTTGCAGGCATCAAAGCTTATTATTATATATGCTTTAATATGATCTATTCTTTTGAATGTATGTAAAATAATTTTAATGTGAATTTTTTTTTAAGTTCAGTGAGAAACATGCAGCTAAAATATTAACAGACCATAACAAAGTTTAAGTGCATTTTTGTAAGCCTCATTTCCTTTACTTACTTTAAGGACATTTACTTTTGTCAGTTGGGTTTTCATATTTTTATTTGACAATTTCAAATCACTGAGCTGTTTCTGAAGTTTCTGAATTTCCTCCTCTAATCTCTGATTTGTAGCAATCTGCAAATTCTGCTTAATTCTCAATAATGTTTGTTGCTTGTTGTCTTTCTCTAGCTGTTTAAACATCTTGTTGTGTTCTTCTGTCTGGGAATTCTTAGTCCTGGAGTTTTCCTTTGAAGAAAGCAACAGTGTTGAAATAAAGAAGTTGTGTTTTAATATGATGCTCTACACTACTATAAGATATACTCTAGACTGATAAATTGCAGACTTAACAATACTTACATAAGTAAAATATTTTTTACCATAAATATGCATTATTAAACTAGTCCAAAAAATAAAATATCACAATAAAAGTGATGACTCGTTGAGTAGTGATGACAGTTAAGTAGACAACTTTATTATTAATAACACCATTATGGAGGGTAATCTACTTTACTCAAAGTCTTCTGAATTAAATATTAATCACATCTAAAATATAAATCTAGACTGGTGTTTGACCAAACATCTGGGCACCATAACCTAGCCAAGCCGATGCATGAAATTAACCATCATACAAAAAATGAAGAATAGAATTAAAATTTTAGCCTTCAGATATGCATCACAGAAGGAGAGAGCATAGAAAACGAAGAGAAGCATGAAAAAAAATAAAAAGAAAATAAATGGAGAGGGGAAAATATTGAAATAAATGATAAAATTTGACAGATGACAGACAAAAAGTTCTTAAAGTGCCAAACAAGAGAGATAAAGAAAAACCATATATCTAAGCACATTATAACAAAGTTTAAGAACATCAAAGCAAATGAGAAAACTCTAAAAGCTTCCTGAGAGAAAGAGTAGATCACCTACAAAGGAAAAAGAATCACATTGATATCAGACTTCTCAACAGTAACAGGGGATGCAAGGAGATAGTTTAAAAGAATTTCATGAAGAAACTTTGAAACTAGAGGTTATATTCAGCCAAATTGTCATTAAAATCTAAGGGTATAATAAAAATGTTATCAGGCACATGTGGTGTCAGAAAGTTTGCCAGACAAAGATCCAATTGTCAAAAACTTGTAGAAATGCTCAAATAAGGAGAAAAACCCAGGAGGATGCTGCAAGAGATATGTAACTCAGGGTGATAAAATACCTTGGTCAAGTTTAGTGGTTGTCTAAAAATAATTAGGACCAAGTAAAAGAAAACAGAGAAAATATATTCATTCTAACAATCCAGGAATTTAAAATTTAGAGAATAACAACATAATTGGGGGCTGAGGTCAGAGACTAAGGGACATGACATTTTTGTAAATATTAAGTAAACAAGAGTATGGCTCATAATTAAAGAACACCAGCATAAGAATAAAAACAGGATATATAACTTTAAAACCAGCAGTAAAAGGAAATTAAAATATATGGAAATTAATTGCAATAAATGTAAATGTGTTAAGTTCACCAATTGGATACCCTCTGATTGGATTTAAAAAATATAATTATATACTGTCTTTAATCACAAAGACAGAGAAAGGCAGAAAATAAAAGGATAAAAAGATATATCACAGTCAGGCAAACATGGACCAACAGAAAATTGCTTTGGTAACCATAATTTCTGAAAGTGGAGACTGTAAAGCAGTATTTTATAAAGGGCAAAGAAAAGAAAATGTTTCATAGTGCTTAAAAGAACAAGTCAGCAAAAGATCATCATAAGTGCTTGTGCTCCAGGAGCCCATAAAGCTAAAACTGACAGACCTGCAAGGACAAATGGATAAGTCAAAAATTATACTTGGAGAATTTAGTATACCTTTTCCAGAATCAAGGAAACAAAAATAATCAGAGATACTGACAATCTAAACCATGTGAATAATACAGAAGTTTACACCCAACAAGGAGAACACGTTCTTTATAAGCACACGTGAAACAGTTACCAAAATAGACCAAGTATTAGGCCATGGAGGAAGCCACAATAAATTACCAAGGATCATATCATATTTCTGCTATGTTGGAATAAAATATAATTCTTTTCAAAATCCCATACATTTGGAAAATGAAAAACGTATTCCTATATTTAAAATTAAAGGAACACAGTACATGTCAATATTTGTGGGACAAAGCTAATGTAGTTCTTGACAGAAAAATTATGGTTTATATAAGTGCTGTTACCAAGATACTTGAAAGGTTAACCATAAACCAGTGCTTTTATTTTTCCTAGTCTCTTCCTTTCCTTCCCCTTATTTTCTGAACAATCCAGTCCTAAAGCCATTAGCGGGGCAAAATAAGGTAGGCAGCTACACCAGAATGAGAAGTGAAAAGCTGTGGCTCACAGCAGGCCTACAGAGTCCAAGCTGGGCGACAGAAGTGTCCTCTGAGGAAAGCTGCCCTGCGGAGGAATTGAGAGCCTGACCAGGGTGAGACGAGAGCCCACATGGACAGGTGACCTGTCATGGAGTCTTAGTGCCTGAACAGGATGAGGAAAACGTGTGCACAGTTCTGGAAATCAACAAGAACAAGACAGGAATCCACACAGCAAAATGGGCAAAGGAAAGAAATGAGCAAACACTAAAAAGCCCAAAGACTATAACATACATGCATACATACATACATACATACATAAATGAAATGCTCCGACTCATTAATAATTAGAGAAATGCAAATTAAATTAGCAATCATTTTATACCTGATGGAATGGCAAAAATTAGGAAGCTGGTTAATATCAGGAGATGACAAGAATGTGGAGATTGAAGAGCCCTCTTGTATCTCTGGTGGGACTATTGCTCTGGGAGAGCCATCTCACTGTATTTAGTCAAATTAAGTGTGCATGTCTTATGAGCTACCAGGTTCAATCTCAAGTAAACATCCCTAAGAAATTCTCTCACAGGTCCATACGGAGACCCGTACGGGGATGCTCCTAGCAACGTTGTTTGTGGTGGCAGAAAGATGAGGTAACTGGGGTATTCATCACCAGACGAGTGAACAGACAAAACATGGCAGATGT